AGTAAAGAAGTAAAAGTTAAGTGACATCATAAATTCCAACATCTTTTTAAAATCACAACCTTTTTACCTTTAATTGGTCATTTTATGTTTTTAAATCAAAATCGTGTCTTTTTAGTTTAAAATTCAAGTTTTTTAAATGTGTGTGTCGTTTTCGTTAATTTGAATCAATACGCTAGTAATCAAGCCAACACTCTTCGTGGGATCGACTCGGACTTAAAAGGTCCATTATACTACTTGTTCTCGACCTGTGCACTTGCGGCATAGTATTTCAAGCGAACAAGTTTTTGGCCCTTTTGAGCATAAAGTACTGTTTCAGTAGGTTCAGGGGTCCTAATGTCGTAAAGGGGCATAACTCCGAACTCCCTAGCAACTTTAACAATCACGTGTTCTTTATACTTGGTCGGTCCCCTAGGGTAAGTTAGTGTGGTCTCGACCTCGAGATGCAAGCTGATAGGTACGGCCATAGGGATAATGGACGTACCTTCGCCCTCGGGGCACTTATTGGACGAACTCCTAGATAACTACCACTATCACTCGACCCCTCACTGCTACTACTCGACATTATGCTACTTAAAATAAATAACTTAAAGGCTCGAACACTTACCTCTTAAGGTGGTCGCTCACAAACCCTATGCCTCGAGCTCGAACTGCTTTTACTGAGAGTGTCCTGTGAAAAAGTGAAAAATGAGAGGTGGAAATGGGCTATTTATAGGGGTCAGAAGAATGTCAAAGGTCGCGCAATCCTGACCCTTGGATCATGCCACGTGTCAGCCACGAAGGTTACTTATTTTTTATCCTACACGCATCCGACACGTGTCAAGGGCCCAACTGTTACCCATGACAGCAAAATGAGTTCGATCTCAGGCCATTCACCTTAGTACATCTCACATCACAGCTCGAACATGTGACTTTTAGCTGTGACCTAGATGCACGGGGGCCTGTGATGAGTATTAATGCTTTAGCCCCGAGCTCGAGCACGTATGTCGAGCTCAACCCATCGTAATTGGTTAGTTCCAAGTTCAGGCTTGGGATTTAGGTCCGGGTAATGTTTGAGTTCGAGGTCGTGGCTCTTTTCT